GTCTGGTTCAGCGTGTTAAACTGTGCACATGTGAACCACAATGACAATATGTGACTCAACATTTTCTATTGTTCAGCAGCATATATCTCCACCCAGAGATTTCACTTGTAAAGATATGAACACAAAACATTCTGAATTGATAATGTTTGAATTAAATAAACATCAAATCACAAGTGAGTTTAGAGGTTCAATCTTAAATGTCAAATACATTTTTAATAAGTGATGAAACAGATATTGCTCTCTTATACAATACATTTTTGGCATAATCTAAAAGACAACGGCTGCAGGTTTGCAGATTACTTCTTATGTGCTCATCTGTGTAGGTGTGCATGTGTGCGTGTGTGTGTGTGTGTGTGTGGTGAGCTGTCAGAGGAGATCTGGTGAGAGTGGGCTAATTGGAGTTAATTCACCATCTGTCTGTGTGAGCCAGCAGACAGGGTCATTAGCAGAGACAAGTCCAGCCACAGGGGAGGCCGAGAGGGGAATCACCATCCCTCACTTTCTCTCCCTCAGTCTTTAGTTTTTGTTTTCCTTCCTGTCAACCAAACCGTCTCTTGTCTCCATCATTCTGTCTTTGTGTCTGTTTGATCCTCCTTCATCGCATTTTTCAGATCCTGTTGTCTAATTATGCAAAGCACAGACTTAAGGACACGTTTTTTTTTATTCTTTGTGTGCAGAAGATTGTTTGAAGTGGTGCTGATCTAAAACTGGGTGTAAAGTAATCAGTGAGAGCCTTTTCTCTTTTTGTTGACTGTTTTGTCAGATCTGCGCTGCCCTCTGCTGGCCAGATGTGGGCCTGAGACCACAGCGCTGGGCAGAGATGAGAGATAAAAAAATAAATGATTGCCCTGTCCACTGCAGAGTGTCTGCCGGGTGTCACAAGTCTGATAAATGTTCTTCCATTAAAGAGAGATTGATGGTGCCATCATTGATTATTTTTGAGTTCAACACATCCAAACTTCCATTGAGTGTAACAAATTTAATGTCATTTCATAATGACAACACAATTTCATATTTCTTGACCATCACAATTGCAGGTTACTTGTAGCATCCATTTGATATATTATCTTTGTTATAATTCGTCAGGATCTTTGTTGTTGCACGTTGTATCACCCCTCGTCTTCCATATATGTCTTGTATCTCTCCACTATTGACAGTTATAGAACAAAATGGCATTAAAATAATAACAATGAATGAAAAAGGAATTACTGAGCGGGAGGAGTAGGAACCTTTACAGATACAAAATCATGATGGCCAAGGTTTCTTACCTAACCTACAAGCCTTTAAGATAGGCTGCTAGATAACTTCTCCAAATAAGGACAGTCATTTTAATACACTGAGTGAGTGTGCAAAGAAAGTGGTAACTTAATCAATTTTAGATTAGTGAAACTGTGCTTTGTATTCCACCTAAATGCTTGTAAAATAACACTGGATTATTAAAAGACCGTTAAATTGCATATTCATGAGGGCAGGAGAGATGATTAGCTTTGAGGCCGACTCCATCACACACAGGTTTGACCGATCTGTGTCCTAGGGATGTACTTTCTGGAGTCTCTGTATCGGTCAGAGTTAAACACAAGGAATAATGAAGAGGGGGGGGGGCCAGAAAACGTAAAGTTTGGAAGACAAATATTCAGTGTTGGCTGTCTTTAATCTGACACTTATCACATGTGTAGGTGATAAACAGGCAGTGATCATCATAGCCCTAACCAGTCTTGGCCTCTCTCCAGCTCCATGTGGTCTTGTATAACGTAATTTGCCCAGAAAGAAAACCTACACCAACAAAAGACCAACAAATCAGTCAGTGGGAAGCTCTAACTCAAAGCATTTTATTGCCTCTGCTTGATGGATCATTTTTGACAATGTCATAAATTTTGCCTTTATCATTTTTTTCATCTGAAGACACCCTATTCTTTCTCAAGAGGTGTTTTTCATCTCTGCCAACTCTAAAGTGAAATACATCGCAGAAGTTTGAGAGGTCGTGCTTACTGTTGTAAATCAAATATAAGTCGTATGTTTTTTTTCACCACAGTCTGTGGCGCCAGATCTTTTTTATTTTACAGCCATGTCTTGTACTCACCATCTCAGTGCATGAGAATGTTGGCTTCTCTCAAACACATTACAATACATAAATTCAATGCAACAAATAATTAGTTTAAACATGTTACATATTACATGGTTGGCAATTGAGAAACAATAAGGTCTAAAGTAAAAGAAACTACAACTAAAATGTGACTAATTCAATGGTCTAGACTCTATTCCTTCACTTCAAATCTACAGCATTAATATACAAACTGTACAAAGCTGGCAAAAATGATTACGTTCTCATTCGCAGCCATTTTTGATTATCTGTGCTGTACTGATATCCCCTTGTTCCTCTTCTGAATACAGGAGAACCTTCTGCATGTATACATGATTATTCGGTTTGCCGTATAACTTCAATAAAAACATACGATGCTTCCTGGCTTTGTGATTCCCTTTGTTTTGAGCACTCTCACTGTTTGACTCTTTGCAAAAGCTCTGAGCTAAAAAGCTTTTAGAGGCTTTTGTGTTGTTGAGCGATTCAGGAAAACATGCCAGGAATTGTAGGTATTTGCTATTCCAGGGCCCCAAGTGAGCCGTTGTCAGGGGAGCCAGGTTTTCTAGCAGTGCCCCTGAGGGTCAAAGGTGATTCTGAGGTTAGATTCACTTAAAGTCAAGTAACTTCTCATTGCTCCTATACTTCTACACAGACACATTCAAATATACAATGCAAACAGGTCATAACAAGACTGAGTTATGTTCTATGTCGTTCATTTTCTCAGACAGATGATTAGCAACAAGCTCTCATATTGTCACAGTTAATTGCCTCCATCATTGAAATGCAGGTTGGTTGAACGAAACGAAAAACAGAAGAGGGATTTAGACACAGATGAGAGATGAGAAAAGTTGAATAATTCAATGGCAAATATCATAAATATAAATCTATATATACACATATATAAATGTGTACTTGACAATGAAAGACAAAAAGTAGAATAACTGAATAAAGAATACCAAACATTGTATGAGCGACGTAAAGCCATAGGCCTTTTTCACGGCAGACATTTTGACTTGTTATGAACAGGCGTCACTAATAACATTAAACAGGGTTTCGTTCTTTTCAAGTGTCTCAGTAAGTCCGTGAAAGACCCTGAAACCCTGTAAGACCCTGAAACCGAAGCAGCTAAATGGAATCCAGCCATCATTAATTTGATTATTTACACCTGCAAATACTGTGACAGGTCAACATGGTCTATTGTATTGGATATGCATTGTATTGTGCTCAGTCGTTTTATTATTGTGTTCACCTTTTGTTCATCTCTTTTGCTGTTAGTGTGTAAACCAGTAAAATGCTTTGTGTGAACATTGAGACACATCCTGTCCTCTCTTGTCCTTTACACACTGAACCACCAAAAAATCATTGTAAAGCGCCGGCTGTGTGTCCTCCCAGCAGCCGGAGGTGACCAGGTCAGTGAACGCCTCGCTGCAGTAACTCCGGGCTTCCTGCCAGGTCAAAGACATTTACATTTACACTAAGTAGCACACAAGAGAAAGGCAGGTGACACAGCAGAGTCCTTGAGCAGATGCACCTGTCTCTGGGTCGATGTGAATGTGTGACTAATTTGACAGGTTATAACTGTACTTAGTGCAAGGACTCATAGAGACTGTTTTCGGCTGCATCTGGAGGATGAGACAGCCTCTCTGGTTGCCGGTGGTCCTCTAAAGCTTCCAACAATAAACACGGTTACATAGCTCCTGATTTCAGTCTTCTCCGCATGGCAAAACATTAAGATCATAGTTTTCTCCAGAGACAGACTGCACTAAAACATTTATGTTGCTTATGTTTTTAATGATACAACTTTAGTCATTATTGTCTCATGTCAAAGTACTATAATCACATTATATCCAGGGCATAGGCCTACAAATGGGTGTCAATCAATGGCGTAATTGCCCCATGTGTATTCATCACATATTTCAATCAAGTCAACTTAACATTTTGTCTAAATATTTTTAATACTTAGGAAAATGTAACTGTCACCTGAAGTAATTTGTCAATGTATGAGTGTAGAAAATCACACAACTGATGTAGAAAGAAGTCATTTTGGATTGTATTCAAATGTAGGCTGTATATGCTTAAAAACAGTTCGCTAAACACATTGCTAAAAATAATGTTCTTTGCGTGAATCCCACATTTATTACCACACTATAACAAGAACACTGTGATATGCACAGTAACTGGCTGGCAGCAATTAACTACTAAGTTGCTGTAGTACATTTCACAGTTTGCTTACTATGATTACTGGAGGTAGAGCATCAAGCAATTGTTTGTCCAGATGTTGTTGTCGAGATATATACTGTATATACATATATACACACATACATATATCTGCACATACACACATATATAGGAGCAAAAGAGGAGGGAAGCGAGAAAAAAATGGTTAGAATTAATGTTGTCAATGTTTCTGCAGACGTGTGCCTATGTGGGGGTTTCTTCTCGGTATGTGAATAAAATCAAATATTAAGTGTCAGCATAAATACAATTGGCCAATAAACTTGTCATTCAATAAGGAGCCAGCTTCATTAATCATGCCATCTTGTATTGTAATAATACAGTACCTTGTTTTTTTGTTTTGTTTTCTACAAAACGCCAAACCTAACGTTATAATGTAGATGCATCTGGTTTCAGTACATACAAAGATAACATGGATCAAAACAAACAAACAAACTAATTATTGATCTACTTTACTCCTAAAGTACTTAATGTTGTACTATCTCATTGTCTCTTTGCCGGAGGACGCGATACTATTTTGATACAGCCATTACATATTGCTATTACTGTATTATTAGAACCCGTAATGGAGCCAGTAGTAGCGCAATAGTAACCATACGTGTTCCCTCCACTAGGAGCCGCTGGCCGGCGGCTCAGCTCGCTATGAGCCGATAGAGCTGCTTTATTCATTTGTAGCGATCCGGGATGCTGAAATGCCTCAGAGGGTAGAGGAGCCTGACTGTTACCTTTGAGCAAACAGCGTTGTGGATGAAAGTTTCTGCACACAAAAAAGTTCTTCAATACGGTTCGCGATGAGTTGGAGGAACTGATACGTTGTTTTGGACATCTTGGACGCGGGTGTTGTTCGGGGTTTTTTAAGTTTAGACAGCTAGCGCTACGCAGACGTATGCTAACGTTAGCATAGCCTGCTAGGTAAATATTACGGGGTTTCCTGCATCTGCGTCCACTTGTCAATATAGGAACCGTGGCGTTAGTGGACATTGTGTCACGTTGTTTTATTGATTATAACAGCAGGCTGTAGCTCCAACGAGATGGGTGGATTTGTGTTTCGTTACACACAAAGCTAACTGGCTATGGTTAGCATGTACGAATGCTAGCTGACGTTAGCTAACGTTGCCGAGCCAGCCAGCAACTTCGGCAGGAGAGTTTCGGCGAGCTAACAACGACACTATTGTCGCCCACAAGCAACCTCTGCCGCTGAAAGCAGTCAACCCGCAACCATGTTCGAAATGGAGACTCATATATCGTGCCTTTTCCCGGAGATCCTGGCCATTATTTTCAGTTATCTGGACGTTAAAGACAAAGGAAGAGTAGCCCAAGTGTGCGCGGCCTGGAGGGACGCGTCCTACCACAAGTCTGTGTGGAGGGGGGTGGAAGCCAAGCTCCATCTGCGGAGAGCCAACCCGTCTCTGTTCCCCAGCCTGCAGACCAGGGGGATCAAAAAAGTTCAGATTCTCAGCCTGAGGCGAAGTCTGAGCTACGTAATTCAAGGGATGCCGCACATCGAAAGCCTTAACCTGTGTGGCTGTTTCAACCTGACAGACAACGGACTCGGTCATGCCTTTGTGCAGGACATCCCATCCCTGCGGGTGCTGAACCTCAGCCTTTGCAAACAGATCACGGACTCCAGCCTGGGCAGGATTGCCCAGTACCTCAAAAACCTGGAGGTGCTTGAACTCGGGGGATGCAGCAATATCACAAACACCGGCCTGTTGCTCGTCGCCTGGGGCTTGCACAGACTCAAGAGCCTGAACCTGCGCAGCTGCAGGCATGTGTCCGATGTGGGCATCGGTCACCTGTCCGGCATGACCCGCAGCGCGGCGGAGGGCTGCCTGTCCCTGGAGAAGTTAACCTTGCAGGACTGCCAGAAGCTGACCGACCTTTCCCTGAAACATGTCTCAAAGGGCCTAAACAAGCTCAAAGTGCTCAACCTCAGCTTCTGCGGAGGGATATCGGATGCAGGGATGATCCACCTGTCGCACATGACCCACCTGTGCAGCCTGAACCTGCGGTCGTGTGACAACATCAGTGACACGGGGATCATGCATCTGGCCATGGGCTCCCTCCGGCTGTCTGGACTCGATGTCTCCTTCTGCGACAAGATTGGAGACCAGAGCCTGGCGTACATCGCCCAGGGGCTGTATCAGCTCAAGTCCCTCTCTCTCTGCTCCTGCCATGTCAGCGACGATGGCATTAACAGGATGGTACGCCAGATGCACGAGCTCAAGACTCTCAACATTGGACAGTGCGTGAGGATCACGGACAAAGGGTTGGAGTTGATAGCTGACCACCTGACCCAGCTGACAGGGATCGATCTGTACGGTTGTACGAAGATCACCAAGAGGGGTCTGGAGAGGATAACACAGCTCCCGTGCCTTAAAGTGTTAAACCTGGGACTGTGGCAGATGACTGAGAGTGAGAGAGTGAGGTGAAGTCTCTCCAGTGTAGTATACATCTTTCATTGTGTATCGTGCTCAGTTGTATACTGAGGAAGGCTGTCTGTCTCTCCACTCTTAATTTCACCTTCTATGCTGTGACTAAAAACAAGGAGAGGGACTCCGCATCGATCACTGGGATATTGTTCACCTCCACCTGCAATACTCCACTTTTGGTTTCAGTCTCGCTCTCCTCTGATGTGCATCGTTTAATCTCAGCCTGTGTACAGTTCTTACTCTCTAGCTACCTCGCCCATTAAACACAGGAGTGCCTACTATCGCTGAATACTAAATTACATATTTTTGTGACTCGCATACCAATGGGGATTTAGATATTTAAAAAGAATCTCATTGCAGAATAATAGCTCGGCATTTTAACTCTTAACAGAAAGTCAAATTTTGATAGAATGGTTTGTTTGTTTTTTGGCTGATGTATTTTTTACTTGTGTAACCAATATTTTTTTGTATTGAGTGAAAAAATTGTACTTCAAATTGAAGTGGGTGGATCACTCCCGTCTGTCGGTTTACCTGTGTATAGTTGGCTATGTTTCATATTCCTGAGGAAGTAGGTGTGTATCAGATGTTCCGGTATGCTACTCTGTCAAAGGTTCATCCACACATCTACAGTAAGGCGTAGTAATTAACAGCTGCCAAGGCTATATGCAATACCTTAAAACTGTTTTATCAGTGGTCTTTCTCCTGAGGAGCTTCCAACGATAGTGTCAGAGTATTTGTTTAAAAAAAAAAAAAAAACAGTAATTTAAGATTGTTTTATATTCATACAGTAGTGATATTTATGAATAAAGATGGCAAATATATTTCATTTTTTTGTGTTTACTTGTAGAATTTGTAACATTTTTACTAACTATTTGATTTATAACTGTGACTGTAGATCTTTGTGCAGTTTAGGGTTCCTCTTGCAGTGTCTCTCATCTGTAGAACAAGTCTTAATAGCTACGTTTATATACTTGCACACGATATTCAGAAGAATACATTTTTGATTTCTTACTTTTTAATATCCCCATTTCTTGAAATCTAGAATTAATTATGTGATTAAGATGAATATTATCTTAATCATTTCATAGCAGTTAATACCAAATCAACTTGTGCATCTGAAGGGAGTTCTCACCTCATCCATGTTTACCAAACCGACATCTAAACGTCAGATATTTTGAGAAATGTATTTACACTTGGAGAACTAAGTCGGTTCCTATTGAACCCAACTGGCACTAGAAACGACCTCAAACAAAGCACAGCTGTGTCCCAGAACTTGGATTCAAAGCCCCATTTAGCAAATTCCCCCCCCGCGTAGCTACCCTTGAGCAAGATCTCAGGGTCCTCGTATATAATCTGAATGTAATCCATGTTCTCAGTGAGTTTGTGGGGACTCCAGGCTGTAACTACCAACTCCACTTGAGAGAAATATTGTAGTTTTGTTTAGAATAATACAGGCACTACAGCCTAAAACTACCAGATGCAACAACTTTCTCTTTAACATTTAAATCACCTTTAGAACAGCTGCAAATGTGAAATCAGTTGGAGGCGTCTCCTTTAACCTGGTTAAAGCATATTCACACGTTTACAATATTAGACAACGGTGTTTACCTGACTTTAAAAAAAAACAAAAAAAAAAACGCATTTTCAAAAAACCAAGGCTTATAATTTATTTATTTACATACATACAAAATCGAAATAACTCACAGACGTCTGTTTTGCTTTCTGTTAACAGTTTGATTCTTAACACGAACAGACAGAAGGCAGTACATTTCTTATACAAATGCAAAAATAAAAAACAAATACCATGAACGTGACTAATCAGCCCTGTGTTCCTCAATAAAGAGTAGAGAAAAAGAGATGCCGAGACATTAAGGCAAGGGCAGGGACACACGGGCCATAGTAAGGGGAATTAAACAACCCAGTGGTGAAGGGCGGGGGGGTTGAAATGAGACATCGAGAAATTAATCTCCACTCAAAGAGTTTTGACAGATAAAAAGTACCATGAGTGTCCCGCGGACATCGTCAGAAACCAGTGGATGTGTTTTGTTTTCAGTGAAACACACCCACTAGTCCATACACAGGGCGTTTGTTAGAAAACTCCCAGATGCAGTTTTGTTACGTCACATAATGTTCCTCTTATAACAGCAGGAGAGCCATGATGGTTGGAGACTTTATTTTTTGTGTCCACCAGGCACAATCTGCCTTTGACATCAACCAACCAAAAAAAAAAAAAATCATTGACACAACAGGTAAGAAGAAAATACAACACATTTACATCACCTATGGTGAAAATATACTGGGAAAAAAATGCGGATTAGAAATAAATGCAAGAAAAGTACTCTCCCACGGTTTGAAAACATTTGTAGTTCACACATTATTTTTGACACAAAAGATTTTTTTGACACTTTCCTCAGTTTCTGCTGAAGACACAAACTCAACAGTCATTCTGTTCAGAGCAGCTGGCTCCTCAAGATTCTGTGCAAACATTCAATGCATATCCATACAGTAAACATTTTTATATATGTATTATATATATATATATATATTTATCTCTATAGAACAGGACTTTCCGCGAGTTATGGCAGTACCGTCACGCACACACACACACACACACACACACTTTGTCCTGAAGACAAAATTAGACAAAAAAAAAAAAAAATACAACTGCACTGCTTTTATAGATATTTTTTTTTTTAAAGAATGCACAACACCTTCCACTTAATTAACTTGATTCAGTCACTGTACGTGTTAAATATCACGTTATTTACAAACTGATCTAAAAAGTCAAAATCTGCTGAAAAGTGACTTTTGTTTCCTGTAAATGTAGATGCACTTAGTAATTAAAAACCTCAGCCCTGAAGATTAAAAAAAAAAAAAAAACACAATAAAGGGAGGCATCACTTGCATTGGTAAGTGATCGGAAAAACACAAGAAACGGAAGCGCCGCTTGTATTCTCCAGTGATTCAGTCGAAAAACTAAAGATCAGGTGGGCTTTAAGTAACATCTACAGGAACTTTGGATGAGACTGAATGATCAGTGGATCTTACATCATGCCTTAGCACCAATATAACAGAGGAAGAAAATATCCCTGCATTAGGTCCAGTACTGATCTCTGTTCATGCTCCAAGGCCACTAGAACGTTCTCAAAAGAAACATTGCATACCTCATAAACAAGTGGACGTCGTGTGCAAAACCATCTAAAACTGAATCTCAGTGAATAAAAGTATTTTTTTAGTTTCCTCTCTCTCTCATTTGTATTTGAGAACATTAAGTAAATTAAAGCTGACCTTTGAGGCGTGTCAAAGATCCCCCTCTCATGCCAGTGACCCAGCCAGACGACACAGGAAAACGTACCTACATCTTAATCCTCGCTACAATGACAGACCCACAGGTCCAAGCCGGGAGTAGAAACATTTGGAGAGCATGCTGCATTTATATTTGGTTAAAATGTGGCATTTCCTAAGTGTTCTGATGTTCGGCCACCAGTAGCTGTATTTCTCACTAGCGAGTCCAACCTACTAGTTGGGGAACACCGACTACAATACAAAATAAGCTTCTACATGGCTCCGTTATTTACCCACCGAACTGAGCTCCTCTCGGCTCCCCTCTAGATGTAGCAGCTCCCTAGTTCTCTAAGACAAAAAGTGCTTTCCTGCCCCATGTGAGGAATACATTTACCCCTTTTTACTTGAAAGATATACAAGAAGAACCTAAGGGGTAAAAGACTGAGATAGTTGCGGGTGAGGTAACTGTGCTTGATCGAGCAGTTCCTGCTGTGAATGAACACGTCTAGGGAGAGGAAGGTTGGCAGTATACTCCAAGACTTTGTGCAGAAGTTTCATCTCGTATCCTTTGTCTCCCAACGCACCTGTCCCAGACTTGCAGGTATTTTATGATACTACAAGCAAAAATCGACTTCTGGGGAGTTCACAAATGCTTACGGGCGAGCTGTTAACTTTTCACGAGCCTCCAGTATTGCTGTCGCCTGCCTGATAATGTGATTAGGTGTGTACTTTAGTTCTTCTCTTCCCACTGCGACTCCGCCATCTGCCACAGCTGTCATTAAAATAAAGAGACAGCAAATGTGTAACCTGATATTTGCTCAAAGTGCCATCCTTGAAAACATTTCGACAGACTTTGTGAACATCCCTAATTCGATTTTATAGCGAGACACTTGAGACAGGAAAGCACATAGGAGTCGTGAAAGTATGTCCCAGGGTGGAAGAGGGGAGCGAAGAAGAACGGCTCAGCGGGGTGAGACAAGGCCCAAGTTTGCTCTCATCCAGCCAGGAGCCTCATTGAGTGGAGGTAGGGGCACCGGGGCTCGGCTACGGATTCAGAGGTCAGAGTTGTCAGCATGACTCCTCCAGGGCATTGACAACCTGCTCCAGGATGTCGGGGCAGTAGTCTGCGATCTGCTGGAGAACAGAGTTGGCGTACTCCTGCAGCTCTCCGCTCTCTTTCTCACACACCTCCAGCTCTCTCTCCAACTGGAGACAAAAAGCATCAATTAGTTTATTTTACCAAACCTTCAATCAACAAAACTCTGCATTTTCACCCCAAAAAAAAAAATATACATATTTAGAGATGTTTGACGTTTAAAAAGGAAAATTATTTATTATACATTTATTCAATCTCCCTTAAAATGCACTATCCCGGCTACGTCAGGGACGAAGGTACTGCATCACCATGCAAATGAAAAAACAGCATTGGAGCCTGATTTGACTCCCAAATTCACAGTTTTTAAATACAAAGATTCAACAACTTAATCAAAGTTATTTCATCAGCAATGACAAAAAATTGAAATTAACTGTCTGATTATCTCTAACGTGCATCCACTTTCAAATCAAGCTTTGAAAAACAAAACTGGTCTCCTGTGCCTTTGATTGATACGTTCTCCCTGCTGTACTTTTCTTTGCCTTGATTACATTCATTTCTATTCTGATTAATTCAGAAACAAACCAAATGCTTGATTTTGAAATGTATACGTTGCATTTACGCCAATACACCCGTCATTTCTACTCTCCAAAAGTTCCAAATTGGTGGTCTCAAATTACAATGTAGATATGAATAACGGATAGTTCCTCCTCTACCTGTTCCACACTCATCTTCTGGAGGTCCTCCTCCCAGTCTTCGGGGTCGCTGTGGTGGTAGTGAGAGGGCGGCGTGAGCTGGCTGAGGATGCTGGGGTCGCGGTCATGGCAGAGGTCTGTCAGGTGGGCGATGTAGAGCTTGAGTTTACTGCGGTTCTGGGACAGGGCTAGAAGAGGGGGTATCATCTGCAGGGGGGTGGGGGGGACCAAAGGAATGAGAGTGAGAGGCAGTGGGGGGGGAAGAGAAGAAACAAGGGGATGAAAAAATATTACTACACATAAGTGTTATGCTCTCGTTGAATTGATTGAACATAATGAAAGACTGAAGCACAAGACCCCACTGGCATGAAAACAAAACATCATCATCATCATCTGCATGCATGCTTGTAAAAAGCCATCACCATCTCACATCAGAGCAGGGTGCATTATTCTATGGATTGTTATTGCAAAGTGTCTTACAAAGCTACGGATTACGTGGAGGTTTAAAAAACGTTAACGCCCGTTCGTGTGGATCAAAGTGTGAGGAGCTTATCATCAGTGACACGCAAAGCGAAGATGCTTCAGTTTGAGGCAATGAAACGGAGCCAGGATCAAACACATCTCATCCTCTTAGCTCGTGCATGCAAACACGCACAAACAGGCATCGCTGAAACCTAACCCATGAGCCAATAAGAAGCAATAAATGAAGAGCAGCGTGTAAGGCATGGGATGGAGTGGCAAGATGTACACTCACGAAAGAAAACAAGCAATGATGACCATCAACAAGAACCACAATGAACGGAAGACAAGTGAACATGCCACAGAGCCAAAATGAGGAAAGGTGAGACAGGTCTGGCTTTTTTTTTTTTTTTTTTCCCATACGAGCTCACCCTTCTGAACAAAGTGTCTGAGAGAGAGAGAGAGGGGGGGGCAAAAGGTCGGCTAAGCCCAAATACCCTCCTCATCATCCTGTTATCCACAAGGTAAGCCAACCGCAGCATTACAAAGGAACATTTGGTTAGTGTGAGTAAAGAGAGACACCGTCTCTACAACAGACATTAAACTGTTAAGTAATCAATTTTAGAGAAGCTGTTCAGGGTGAACTGGAAAGATGACTAACTGATGTGATGGGTAAGCTACCTGATCAGGAGAGGGTTTGTGATTGGTCTGGTCAGGAGCGGTCTTCAGATGGTCATCCTCATAGTTGTCTGCCATCAGTTTCATTCTGTTCTGAGTCTGTAAATCAAACATGGTAAGAACAAATACACAAGCAGTCCTGGCCATTGCTTATAATTACATTTCATTCAGAAGCATTATTACTGAGGTTTGTGAGCATGTGAGTCCAGCAATACCAACAACATTTAGACAAAAGGCCTTTTTTTCAATTAAGACTCACGGGATATAAGCACAGGTGTTTCTATTTAAGGGTCCCAGTGAGACATTACAGTGTGACAGAGAGCCGGCATGCACAACACCAGCACCTTGAAACTGAAGCAGCTAAACAGAATTGAGCTATTTATCATTCATTTTAATATGAACAG